TAAACAGGAAAAAAATAAGAAAACCTTTATCCATCCTAAAGCAAAATCTTCCCACTATTACCATCCGGGACCAATGATGGACTGAAGTCATAAATTTGAGATCATTGATTTTGGGGACATCTCAGTTTAAAATGCATATGCTGTTAACATATATGAATGATTTGAAGATTATGAAATTTTTAAATAAATATTTAATTTGAAAAAAATAAAAAAAAAAACTAAAATAAAATTCATATGGAAATACAAGAGACCCCAAATAGCTAAAGCAATCTTATACAACATAAACAAAGTTGGAGGCATCACAATGCCAGATTTCAAGATACACTGCAGGGCAGTTAGAGTCAAAATAGCCTGGTACTGGCCAAAAAAAAAAAAAAAAAAAAAAGACGCGTAGACCAATGGAACAGAACAGAAACTCCACAGGGCAGGTGCTGTGGTATAGCAGTAAAGCTGCGGCCTGCATTGCCAGCATCCCATATGGGTGCCAGTTTGAGTCCCGGCTGTTCCACTTCCAATCCAGCTCTCTGCCAAGGCCTGGGAAAGCAGTTGAAGATGGCCCAGTTACTTGGGCAGAGGAGACCCAAAAGATGTTTCTGGCTCCTGGCTTTGGATCAGCTCAGCTCTGGCTGTTGCAGTCATTTGGGGAGTGAACCAGCAGAATGGAAGACTTCTCTCTCTCTCTCTCTCTGGCTCTATGTCTCAGTAACTCTGTCTCTCAAATAAATAAAATAAATCTTTTTTAAAAAAAGAATAGAAATCCCAGAAATCAATCCACGAATCTACAACCAACTTATTTTTGACAAAGGAGCTAAAATCATCCCTTGGAGAAAGGCAGACTTTTGAACAAATGGTGCTGGGAAATCTGGATCTCTACAAGTAGAAGTATGATACAAGACCCCTACCTTACACCTTACCCAACAATCTACTCAAAATGAATCAAGGGCCTAAATCTACAACCCAATATGATCTAATTACTAGAGAAAATTGGGGAAACTCTGCAGGACATTGGCAAAGTCTTCTTGGAAAAGACCCCAGAAGCACAGGCAATCAAAGTCAAAATGGACAAATGGGATTTCATCAAGCTGAGAAGCTTCTGTACTGCAAAAGAAACACTCAGCAAAGTGAAGAGGCAACCCATAGAATGGGAGAAAATATTTGCAAACTATGCAACTGATAAAGGACTAATATCCAAAATCTATAAGGAGCTCAAGAAACTCAACAACAACAACAATCTAGTTAAGAAATGGACAAAGGACCTAAACAGACATTTTTCAAAAAGGAAATTCAAGTGGCTAACAGACACATAAAAAATGCTCAGGAGCACTAGCCACTCAGGAAATGAAAATGAAAACCACAATGAGGTTCAACCTTACCCCGGTTAAAACAGCTATCATCCAAAAATCATAAAACAATAAATTCTGGCAAGGATGTGGGGAACAATGTAGCCTAATCCATTGTTGGTGAGAATGTAAACTGGGGTTACAAGTGTAGAAAATAATGAAAATACTTCAGAAATCTGAAACTAGATCTACCATAGGACCCAGCAATCCCACTCCTGGGAATTTACCCAAACAAAATGAAATCAGCATCTGAAAGATTTATCTATACCCCCATGTTCATTTCAGCTCAATTCACATTAGCTGAAATATGGAATCAACCCAAATGTCCATCAATAGATGACTGGATAAAGAAATTATGGTATATATATACTACGGAATACTACTCAGCAGTAAAAAAAGATTAAAATCCTATCTTTTCTAACAAAATGGATGCAACTGGAAACCATTATATTTAGTGAAATAAGACAGTCTCAAAAAGACAAATACCATATGTTTTCCTGATCGTAGTAACTAAGAGTACCTAAAATGTAACATATAGGAGTGAGATTGACATTTTCAGATTCACTGATTATTTATAGCCCTTGTCTCTACTGTTGAGGAATAGTGGTTTTTTTTCTTCATATTATTTGTTGAACTCTTAGTGCAGGGATAATCTTATGAGTATTAAGTAAACTGAAAATAGATCTTTGTAAAAATTAAGAGTGGGAATGGGACAGGGAGGAGGAAGAAGGGTGGGAGCATGGTTGAGAGGGAGGGTAAGGTGGGAAGTATCACTATGTTCCTAAATCTTTATATATGAAATACATGAAATCTGTATACCTTAAATAAAATATTTTTAAAAAGATAATGAAGTACATATATATAATGGAATTACTCAGCCACTGATAGGGATGATCTTGTCATCTGTAATAGTCTGGATGGAACTGAAGGCTATCACATTAAGTGAAACAAGCTAGGCACAGAAAGACAAGTATTGCATGATCTCACTCACAACTGGAACCTAAAAAAGCTGATCTCCTAGAAGTTCATAGTAGAATAGTGGTTACCAAAGGCTGTGGAGAGTAGAGAAGGAGGGAATGGGGAAAGTTGATTAATGATATGAAGATATATAAGAGGAAGAAGCACTAGTGTTCTACTACATATTAGGGTGACCAAAGAAAACAAGAATGGACTGTGGGGGCTGGCAATGTGGCATAGCGAGCAAAGCCCCACCTGCAGTGCTGACATTCCATATGGGTACCAATTTGAATTCCAGCTGCTCCACTTCCAATCCAGCTCACTGCTAATGTGCCTAGGAAAAGCAGCAGGTGATGGCCCAAGTACTTGGGCCTCTGCCAGCCATTTGGAGAGCTGGATGAAGCTCCTGGTTCCTGGCTTTGGTCTGGACCAGCCCTGGCCATTGTAGCCATCTGGGGAGTGAACCAACTGATAGAAAAACACTGTCTCTCCTGCTCTCTCTGTAACTCTTTCAAATACATAAATAAATCTTTTTAAAAAATAGGCTATGTAGTTTTCTTTAAAAAACAGAAAGAACTGATAAATACATGATGAGATAGATATGGCTTAAGATTTATTTTATTTATTAGAAAGGCAGAGTTAGAGAGAAGAGAGAGGGAAAGAGAGAGAGCTCTTCCATTGTGGGGAGCAACTCGGACTAGACTAAGTTACTGGAATTAAGACTTATTCTATGCATCTGCTCTCCCACAATATGGCGCTGGGAGAGGAGGAAACAGCTTCTACACAGCTGCCTCCAGTTCAACCAATAAACTGTAGGACCTGCTCCTGATTGGAGGAGAGCAGCGTACTCGGCATGTGGGTAGCAGAGTTGGGATTGGTGGAAGAGGACTATAAAGGAGGAGAGAGACAACATGCACCAGGAACATCTATCTGAAGGAACACCTGTGCAGCCCCCGAGAGAGCCGGCTGGCGGTGTGCCGCTCCCCCGCGGAAGTGGGGAAAGTGGCAGGGGGAACCGCCCTTCCACAGAGGTGGAAGGGACGGTAGCCAACCCGGGAAGAACCAGCAGCAAACCCGGGGAGGGCCGAGCAGACAAAAGAACAACGCAGGGTCCTGTGTCGTTCCTCCACGAAGAGGGGGAGCGACATAATGGTGCCGTGACTCGGATAGGAAGCCTAGGCAGGGTTTAGTGTCGTTCCTCCACGAAGACGGGGAGCGACATTCCATCTTCGGGTTCACTCCCCAAATGGCAGCAATAGCCAAATCTGGGCCAGATTGACACCAGTAGCCAGGAGCTTCATCCAGGTCTCCCATATGGGTGCAGGGGCCCAGGCACTTGGGTCATCCTCCACTGCCTTCCCAGGAGCATTAGCAGGGAGCATGGACAGGAAATGGAGCAGCTGGGACTCAAACTGGCACCCAAATGGGAGACTGCAGTTGCAGGCAATGGCTTAACCCGTCATGCCACAATGCCAGTTCCAAGAAAGGTATGTTTACTCTGATTTGAACCTTATATTATACACGTATCAAAAGATCACATCTCATAAATATGATATTTATGTATGTTAAATTTTTTTTAAAAAATCGCCTACAATACAAAAAGATACATCTAGCCGTTTTATTTTTTTTCACAGTTTTACTGAGTTATGTTTGAAATAAAAAAATACTTGCAAATATTTAATGCATACAGTTTGTTGAGTTTGGGCATACACACATACCTGTGATACTGTCACCACATCTTTATCACTTCCAAAAGTTCCCTATGTCCCTCTGCAGGTTTTTCTTTTGGGGGTAAGAGCACTTACCATGAGATCTTCCCTCTTAACAAATTTTTAAGCACACAACACTGTATTGTTAACCATAAGTACTGTGTTGTACAGTAGATTTGTGTAACTTATTCATCCTATATAACATTACTCCCAATGAACAATAACTCCTTGTCTTCCCTTGCTTGCAAATCTCTGGCAATGACATTCAAAATTCTAGAATTGAGAAAGATCTGAAATACAATGCAGGTCACCCCCTTCATTAACAAAGCTAAGTAAGGTCTAAAGAAAGCCAGTGATATGTCTAAGGTCAGACACAAGCAGTTGTGACAGAGATAGTATCATTTAGCACTGAACTTCTTGGCAATACTACACTCACTGCCATCTGGCACAACTACTGGATGACTGCTCTTTGAAGGGTAAGCATTGGGAGTTCAACCTGCAGAAAAAGTTCTCCAAACGTTGCATATCATATGAATGCATTTTCTCCTCCTTCTTAAATAAAATACATTATGTAGAGCCATTAAATATCTAGTGCATAGAAGGCATTCCATAAATGAACAAGTCTGCCATTGAACTAACAGCCCAGTGATGGCTGTTTGGTCAAGTGGTTGGGATGCCTGCATCCTGTATCAAAATGCCTGATGCCTCTGTGGCTCCTGATTCCAGCTTCCTGCTGATTCAGACCCTGGCAGTCAGAGGTAATGGCTCAAGTAATTGTTCCGATCACCCATGTGGGAGACCTGGATTGAGGTCTCAGCTCTCAGCTTCAGCCTCAGCCACGAGCTATTGCAGACATTTGGAGAGATAACCAGCAGATGGGAATGAATAATTTTAAAAAATAATAATGCAACCTTACTGTGATACTATTTGACACTATTCGTATCTAAATTCTACTAGTCAACATGGTTATATTTAATTAAAAATTCTTACTTACCTGATATTTAAGCCAATGAAGTTTGTCCATGTGAAAATATAATCTCCACCAAAGACCATTCCAATATAAGTTATTAATATATTCTAAAATGGAAAAGGGCAATATTTTGTCACATAGATTTAGCTGAACTTTTAAAATATAAATACAGAAGCTTCAGTTGCCTAACGAGCATGGCATTGGCCTCCAAATATATATATACAAAATCATCCATGTGGTGATCAAGATACCTATCCTTAAAATACAAAAATCAACACACATTACCACCACTACCAACCCTGGAAAGAGTGTAGGATGAGCAAGAACACTAAAGGACTCAATGACATTCACCTGTTCCCGATCTAGCCCTCCAAAAGATAAATGCTTTCACCAAGATGAAAAATACTAACAAGATTATCAAACTTTCCCTGCCTTGTGGTATGGGCTGACATTATGAATCTGAACAAAGAAGCACCGCTGTTACCAGGGACAGGAAACACAAAGACATATTTAGCAGTCTTAGGAAAGTCAGCTTTCTTCTCCACTGAGATAACTGTTGGCTTGTGAGACAGAGGATGGGAAAACTGCTTGTGTGACAACACCTTTGCATCTTTCTTTAAAAAGGAAAAAGAGGACTTGATCAACGTGAAGACTTATTTTTGGAGGAATTGTCCTCAGTATCTTAAAAAATGCATGGGAATAAGCCTCAAAATAGTGCATCCCAAATCACCTCTCCCAACACTGCCAGGCATGTAACCATCCTCAGACCACAAAAGTGAAAAGCAGCTTTCCAAAGTTATTATTCAATCCCTCTCAATCTCTCTTCTTTCATGTTTATTGGAAGTCACAGCTTCCCCCTCTGCTCTTGCAACCGCCATGAGCTGCAAATGTCAGGAACATTTTTAGTACCTGGGATCTTCCAGATTAGGCTTAAGAGACGGAAAATAAAGTGCTATGGCATTCTTAAAGGCCAAAAACAACTTTCAAAATTATTTTTATATCGGAGCGCCCTTTGAGAGCATTCAGAATTGCATCAGCCTCTCTGGCTCTAAGAATGAAGACACAAGTTACCTTAGAGCAGATTTTCTTACTATTTCAAGGGAAAATTCCTGTAACCATAAACCAGGCCAGTGGGCAAAGCTGGGAAAGTGTGTAACAGACCTCTCTGTGTATTCAGGGATCCAGGGAGACAGTACATTAATTTACATAAGCTGCCCAGACAACTTCAGAAAGGGAGGCGGCAGGGTCCAGTGTGTGCTCCGAATCAGAAGTTACAAAACCTGTACATATATACTAGGGCATCTTACGCAAGACAGGCTACCAGGACAAGACAGCAACATTCCCCAAACAGCAGGTATCAGGAAGCCTAAAGAGTCTATCCTGGTAGCTCAAAATTAATTTTTTTTTTTTTTGACAGGCAGAGTGGACAGTGAGAGAGAGAGACAGAGAGAAAGGTCTTCCTTTGCCGTTGGTTCACCCTCCAATGGCCGCCGCGGCCGGCACAGCGCGCTGATCCGATGGCAGGAGCCAGGTACTTATCCTGGTCTCCCATGGGGTGCAGGGCCCAAGCACTTGGGCCACCCTCCACTGCACTCCCTGGCCACAGCAGAGAGCTGGCCTGGAAGAGGGGCAACCGGGACAGAATCCGGCGCCCCGACCAGGACTAGAACCCGGTGTGCCGGCGCCGCAAGGCGGAGGATTAGCCTAGTGAGCCGCGGCGCCGGCCCAAAATTAAAGATTACAAATTGCACACTCCAGTATACCTATGCACTGTTTGGAAACCTTGTTTAAAATGCAGATTTCCAGGCTGTATCTGGAGACTCTGTCTCAGTACATCTAGGATAAGCCTAAGAACTGCCACTTTTAGCTAGTTTTCCTACGGGATTTTCCCACCACGCCAGAGAAGCAAACAATGCTGATCCCAGGGTCTGCAGAGTTGGGACCCTCAAGCACAGAAGGAGGCTTAACGATTCAGAACAGGCTGAGACTGGGAGGCCAGGGTAGAAGCTCCACCACGGCCCAGCAAGGGGACCAGTGGCTCCAATGCGTCTGAAGGTGCCTGCCATGCTTCAACAGAGATCCCATGCAGCAGTGAGAAACAGGAGCAACGGTGAACTAACCAAACAATCCAGTTTTTCCACTCCCTCTAGAGTTTGACTAAGTCATGGAATTCTTGGACTACCATGAGGAGGAACATACATCAAAAGGAAAGTATAGATTTCATGTTAACAAGAACATAACTATGGGCAGACACTATGGCATAGTGGTTAAGCCTCCACCTGCAGTGCTGGCATCCCATATGGGTACCAGCTTGTGTCCTGGCTGCGCCTCTTCTGATCCAGCTCTCTGCTTACGGCCTGGGAAAGCAATGGAAGATGGTCCAAGTGCTTGGGCCCCTGCCCCCATGTGGGAAACTAGAAGAAGCTTCTGGTTCCTGGCTTCAGATTGGCCCAGCTCTGGCCGTTGAAGCCATTTAGGGAGTGAATCAATGGATGGAAGACCTCTCTCTCTGTCTCTCCATTTGTAACTCTGCCTCCCAAATAAATAAATAAAATCTTGAAAAAAAAAAAAAAAAAGATTGGGGCTGGCGCTGTGGCATAGCAGGTTAAACTGCCGCCTGCAGTGCTGCCATCCCATATGGGCACCAGTTGGAATCCCAGCTGCCCCACTTCAGATCCAGCTCTCTGCTGTGGCCTGAGAGAGTAGAAGATGGACCAAGTCCTTGGGCCCCTGCACCCGCGTGGGAGACCCGGAAGAAGCTCCTGGCTGTAGATCGGCCCAGCTCCAGCCATTGCGGCCATGGAGAATGAACCAGTGGATGGAAGACCTTTCTCTCTCTTTCTCTTGGGCAGTGAGGCTCCTGGACTTGGGCCATCTTTCACTGCTTTCCCAGACCATAGCAGAGAACTGGATCAGAAGTGGAGCAGCCGGGTCTCGAACCAGCACCCAAATGGGATGCCAGCACTGTAGGCAGTGGCTTTACCCGCTATGCCACAGCGCCAGCGCCAGCCCCTCTCTTAGGTTCTTACTGTTCTTCATGTGAAAACAAGCCTTCTACTATGTTTTTGAAGCATTCACTCTGCAAAATCAAACACAGCTGAAAACTAACCTAGGGGCTAACCCTGTCTCGGCCAGCCCAGTTCTCCAAATGCAGATGGCCTCAGGTTTTCTGGGGGAAGTCACACAATTAACTTGTTATAGCTTAATACAGAACGCTATTCACGCCAAACACTTCCAGTTCCAGGATTTTTAAGTCACAGATTTTCTGGAGTTTTAACCCACTCTATTTCTAAAATGTAACGAAGCGGGTAGCACTGCAGCGGGGGCGCCGAGAGAAGCACACCAGAAGAAACCCTACCTCTCCAACCCTCTTCTCTCACTACTGACTGCGTGGGCACCCGAAAGGCCGTCATAGGCCCTCTTTTTCCCAATGATCAAGGACCTCTCTCTTTGTCTTGCCTTTTTCGGAAAGCAAGTCCACTTTGCTAATTCATTAGAAACTCAGATGTGCAGTGGCCTCTTCGATCCTAAAGCCCCAGAATCACAAAGTCCGACGAGAAGTCCTCAGGCCTCAAGCCACTAACTCAGTATTCAAGTTAACCTGGCTGCCTGGCTAAAGACCAGCGAGTCACCCTCAAATAAAATGGACCAGGAGGAAATGATATCACTGGAAATGCCAGACCCAGCTTTTAAAAGTGGGCCGTGGAAGGACTGGCTCAGGCTAGGAACCTCCTTCGATCAGCTCGTGACAGGCATCCTCTCCTTATAAGCCAGCCAGAACTCAGCGAGGCTGAGGACAGAAGCGGTCTTACTGGGCCTTTCCAGGGCCGTCTCTCTCAGTGCCACGTGACCTCGCTGCCCTGGCAGGAGGAGGCCCAGTTCTCCTTGGTCCTCTACTCTCAGATAATACCATGTTCTCTTCCCTTACCCCTCAGAGCTAAGTTGCCTACAAGCAGAAACTGTGTCTAGCCTGAGGTTTTAAGCATTGTTTTGGAAACTGTCACCAAAATTAGCCAAACTATCACGATCATGGGGTTTGAGGCCACAGCCAGATGAGCTTTAGAAGCACAATTTTCAAATAAAGCATGTTCCAAAAAGAAAACAGGACTTTTTATTTCCAACTCACCTTAATACAGCCAACTATTGTAGTTGTAAGAGCAGAATTATACTGAGTGCAGAGCACTATGGAGTACATCAAGATAAACCTGGAATGGAGAAAGAAACAGTGTGTTTGAAGAAGGAGCCAGTTGCTTACTCCACGATCTCTGGCCAAGAGAAACAAGCGGCACTGCCCAAGCTAGCACATTCTGGCCTCTGACCAACTGCGAGCTCCCCCACCTCCCTGCTGCTTGGGCTGCAGCTTCAGATTTTTTAAAAATTTTGCTAAAGAGAAACACATGTCCACAGCAGGTGTTCTGCTGTGCCATCTTCACCAAAATCCTGAAAGCATCACTTGTAATCAATGAGTACTATTCAAAGACCACGCTTCCTCCACATCCACCTGAGCCAGGCAGACAGCACAGGGCTTAGAGACCCTTGTTCAGCTGCCCACATGCCACGAGGGCAGTCGGATCTCTGGGCCAGGAAGAAGTCCAGAGTGATCCTTAAGGACGAAAGACAAACTAACACCACTTTAAGAAGGGATGACAGTTAACAACTGGGTGGCAGCAGGCGGAACCCTCAGACTGGCACTGAGGTTTCCGTCTTGAGGCCCCAGGTTGACTCTATTTTGAAGCACCTTGCTCCAATGCCTGCCAGGTTCAATCACAAGCAGCGACAACTGATGTGTTGAGGAAAATACCAGAAAAATACGGAGGTGAGAACAGGCATGGTTTAGATACCCTAAGGAGTCCAGAACAAACTTTTCTAGGAAACCCATCTATTAACAAGGCAGCAAAGGCTCACCCCATCACACAGGAGAGGGTAAACTGCAGCAGAAACAGAGCGTCGGCCCAGCCTTCGAATTCCATCGCCTGTAATACACAAGAGAGCATTCAGTTTCAGAGCAGACCCTCAGTAGCAGCTGCCCCATGCACCTGCGGGAGTCCTTTCTCTGCATTTGCGCCGACATACACAGTGCAGCCGTGTACTTCCTTCCGTCACTCCCATGACAGAGTGATGCTCAAGAATGTCAAGGATACGGAGCTGAACCAAGTAAGTGGTTTCAGAAGGTTTTCTCCTTTCCAAAATGGAATGTGGGGGAGACCTCGTGCAAAGAAACTGAGACTCCCAGGAGGCACCAGCAACACCTGCCCAATTGCAGCAGCTCTCACAGAAGGATGTGCTGGCATGAAAGAATTTCTCAAATATTCAAATATGTATTTCTAAGGCTAAATCCAGCTGAGGTCTATTCGTGAGGAATCACTGCTTAAAAATAGCTAATTCTAAAAGCAAAGTGTGTGTGTGTGTGTGTGTGTGTGTAGTTAATGTGTTTTCTTTGTTAAATCCAAAGCAAAGGAATACAGAGAAATGAAAGGGTGCATTGGTATCTCATCTCTCATCCAGGAGCAAGGCTTTCTCTCTCAAGTACACAGTTTCCTTTACAACATGAACTTGATAAGCAAATGTGAAAAACGTTCCACCTTTTATCTCTCTGCCAACCTGTCCAGCTTCCACTCTTGCCACTTCCACGCACATTTCGCTGCCGCAGGGCTCCAGCCACACCAGGCTTCTTGCAGTTCATAAAGCCCAATGCACAATTTCACACTTCCCCTCAAATTCCAACTTGAGGGCCCTTTGCAGTGCCTTCCCTCTCCACGCCCCAGTACTCCTCTCCAGCACCATGCCCCTCTCTACAACGTGTCCACAGACTGTGAGCCCCCTGTGGGGAGGGCCCACATTTCTCTGTGTTCCTAACAGCACTGGACAGTACACATTCGGTTTGTTTATGGTTCTTTGTTGTGATAACATATAAAAGTAAAATTCACCATTTTTAATGGAAAGTTCCATTTGTACTGAGAACTGTATAGTCACAGCATCACCATTACAATCATGATAAAGAAATCCCTACACACACACACACACACACACACACACAGAAACTATCCCCTGCCCTTTTAGTCAGTCCCTTCCACCTGCTAGCGCCAGGCAACTTCTATTTACTTTCTGCTACCATAATTTCGCTGTTCAACAACTTCATATAAATGGAATTGTATCACAGGTATTCTTTTATGTCTTGAGAATTTTACTTTATATGATGCTTTTGACATTCAGCCATGCTGAGGGTATATCAATAACTCATTTTTATTGTCAAAATGTATTCCATCTTATGAGTATACTAAACCATCATTTGTTTACTTAGTTACAAGTCAAGTCCACATTTATTTGGGTTGCTTCCAAAACTTGCTATGATGACTAAAACTACAATGAATCTGTTCAGTACAAGACTCTGGATATGTTTGTAAATACCCAAAAGATGGGACTGCTGGTTCTTTTGGTATGTGTATCTTTTCTGACCACATGGAATGAAGCTGGAAATTAAAACTTAAGATCTAGAAAATATACAAACACATGGAGACTGAACAACATGCTCCTGAATAAACAGTGGGTCATAGAAGAAATCAAAAGGGAAATAAAAAAATTTCGAGAAATGAATGAAAATGACAACACAACCTATCAAAACTTATAGGATAAGCAAAAGCAGTGTTAAGGCAAGAGTTTATAGCAATTAGTCCCTACATTAATAAATTAGAAAGGGGTGGTGCTGTGGCACAGTGGGTTAAAGCCCCGGCCTGCATTGCTGGCATCCCATATGGGCACTGGTTCAAGTCCCAACTGCTCTACTTCCAATCCAGCTCATTGCTAATGCACCTGGCAAAGCAGAGGATGGCCCAAGTCCTTGTGTCCCTGAACCCATATGGGAGACCCAGAAGCAGCTTCTGGCTACTGGCTTTGGATCAGCTCAGCTCCAGCCGTTGCAGCCATCTGGGGAGTGAACCAGCAGATAGAAGACCTCTTCTCACGCTCTCTCTGTAACTCTTTCAAATAAATAAAATAAATCTTTTTTTAAAAAAGAAATTGGAAAGATATGAAATAAATGTTCTAACCATGCATCTGAAGGACCTAGAAAAACAAGAACAAACCAAACCCAAAATTAGGAGGAGGAAAGAAAGAATAAAAATTAAAGAAGAAATAAACAAAATTGAAATAAGATGGTGAAATCACAAAAGATTGTTGAAATGAAGAGTTGTTTTTTTGAAAAAATAAACAAAACTGAAAAATCACTGGCCCAATTAACCAAAAGAAAAAAGGGAGAAGACCCAAATGAATAAAATCAGAAATGAAATAGCAAATGTTACAATCGCTACCACAACAGAAATAAAAAGAATCAGCAGGAGTTATTAAAAACAGTTACACAGCAACAAGTTGGAAAATTCAGAAGAAATGATAAATTTCTAGGCACATAATTTATCAAAATTGCAGTACAAAAACCTGAATAAACCAGTAACCAAGGCTGAGACTGAATCAATAATAAAGTGCCTCACTGCTTAATTCTACCAAACTCTAAATGAACTCATTCCAGTTCTTCATAAACTATTCAAAACAACTTAAAGGGAGGGAATCCTCCCAAACTCCTTCGATGTGGCCAGTATTACCTTAATTCTAAAACCAGAAAAAGATACAACAAAAAAGGGAATTATAGACCAATATCCCTGATGAACATACATGCAAAAATCCTTAACAAAATACTAGCTAATTGAATCCAACAAAACATCAAAAACACCATCCACTCAGACTAATTAGGATTTATCTCAGAGATGCAGGGATGGTTCAATACACACAAATCAATAAATATGACACATCACATTAATGGAGTGAAGAATAAAAACCATATGATTATCTCAACAGATGTAGAGAAAATATTTGATAAAATACAACATCTTTTTTATCCTTCATGATAAAAATCTTAAAAAAAAATTGGGTATAGACAGAATATACTTGAACACAATAACATAATACATGACAAACCCACAGGCAGCATCATATTGAATGGGGAAAAGCGGGATGCATGTCCACTAAGGTCTGGAACCAGACAAGGATGCCCACTTTCACCATTACTATTCAATATAGTTTTGCCAGTTTTAGCCAGAACCATTAGGAAAAATAAATCAAAGGGATACAAAAGAAAAGAGGAAGTCAATTTATCCCTATTTTTAGATGACATGATTCTATATATAGGAGAACCAAAAGACTCTACTAAGAAACTATTGGAATTCATAAGATAATTCAGCAAAGTTGCAGGATATAAAATCAACAGTATTTGTATACACAAACAATGCTCTTGCTGAGAATGTAAGGTCAGTCCCATTCATAATAGCTACAAAATAATTTTAATAACTTGGGATAAATTTATCCAAAGATGTGAAGGATCTCTAAGAGCAATAAAAATTTAAAAACATTAGTGGAAGAAATAGATTAAGACGCACACATGAGGGGCTGGCACTGTGGCTCAGTGGGTTGATACCCTGGCCTGATGCACTAGTATCCCATATGGGTGCCGGTTCTAGTCCTGGCTGCTCCTCTTTCGATCCAGCTCTCTGCTATGGCCTGGGAAAGCAGTACAAGATGGCCCGGGTCCTTGGGCCCCTGCACCTGCGTGGGAGACCTGGAGGAAGCTCCTGGCTCCTGGCTTCGGATAGGCGCAGCTCCAGCTGTTGCGGCCATCTGGGGAGTGGACCATCTGGAAGGAAGACCTCTCTTTCTCTCTCTCTGCCTCTCCTTTCTCTGTGTATCTTTGACTTTCAAATAAATAAATAAATCTTTTAAAAAAATATGCACACATGAAAACAGAAAAATCTTCCATGTTCATGGACTGAAAAATTAATATCATCACAATGTCCATAGTACCCAAAGAAATTGACAGATTCAATGGGATCCCAGTTAAAGGACATTCTTCTCAGACACAGCCAAAAAATGATTTGAAAATTCATATGGAAACATAAGAGACCCTGAATAGACAAAGTAATGTTAAACAATATAAACAAAGCCATAGGCATCATAATACCAGATTTCAAGATATACTGCAGGGCTGTTATAATCAAAATAGCCTTGTACTAGCACAAAAAATAGACACATGGACCAACGGAACAGATCAGAAATCCCTCTCAATATTATGATCTCATCTTAACTAATTACATCTCAAAGATACCATATTTCTAAATAAGGTCACAGTCTAAGGTACTGGGTGGTTAGCACTTGAACATATGAATTTTGGGAGAACATAATGCAAACTAGAACTTTTCCAGGTTGATATCTGAATACTTAATGAGGTCAGGGTCAACATTCAAGATTTTGCATATAAACGTCAAATTGTTCAACACCATTCATTGAAAAGATTACTCTTACCTCATTAATTTATTTTGGTACCTTTGACAAAAACCAGTTCATTACATGGCCTACTTCTATTTCTAGATTCTCTGTTCTGTTCACTAAATCTATGTGTACTCAGTCTAATATTGTACTGTCTTAATTACTATGGCTTTATAGGAAGTCTTTTTTTTTTTTTTTTTTTTTTTGACAGGCAGAGTGGATAGTGAGAGAGAGAAGACAGAGAGAAAGGTCTTCCTTTTGCCGTTGGTTCACCCTCCAATGGCCACCATGGCTGGCGCACCACGCTGATCCGAAGGCAGGAGCCAGGTGCTTCTCCTGGTCTCCCATGCAGGTGCAGGGCCCAGGCACTTGGGCCATCCTCCACTGCCTTCCCGGGCCACAGCAGAGAGCTGGCCTGGAAAAGGGGCAACCAGGAAAGAATCCAGCGCCCCAACCAGGACTAGAACCCAGTGTGCTGGCGCCGCTAGGTGGAGGATTAGCCTATTGAGCCGCAGCGCCGGCCTACAGGAAGTCTTAAAATCAAGTAGGATTTGATCCTTAATTTCTGGGATAAAACAACTTAGTCATGGTATGGTCCCTTCTTTATATATTGTTAGACTATGGTTTTTCCTCCTTTGTAATATTTTTGTCAGCTTTTGAAAGAGAGTAAGGCTGGCCATATAAACCAGCTGAGATGTGTTCTCTTCTATTTTCTGCAAGAATTTACATAGAACTAGTATTACTTCTTGAAATATTTGAAGTATTCTCTAGTGAAACAATCATAGCCTGAAGTTTTCTTTCTGGGAAAGTTTTTAACTACAAATTCAATTTCCTTAATAGAAAATAGGACTATTGTTAAATAACCCCATTATTAATTAGGGCTTTAATTAATTTTCATTAAAAAATGTCTGTTAATTATTTTATAGAGAGTTTTTTTTTTTTTTTTCAAGAGAGAGGCAGAGAGAAAGAGAGAGAAAGACATACACAGACAGATCACATTTGCTGGTTCACTCCCCAAATGACTCTGATCACTGGGCTGGGCCACACGGAAGCTAGAAGCCAAGATGTCAATCCAGGCCTCATATATGTGTCGGTAGGGGCCCAACTACTTGAGCCATCACCTGCTGTCTCCCACAGTTCACTTTAGCAGGAAGCTAAAACTGGGAGTAAAGCCAGAATTCAAACCCAGGCACTTCAATATGGGACCAGGTGTATTAACAGTGGTCTTAACCTCTAGGCCAAAAACTCACCCCTGGAAGAGGGATATTCTTGTTACCTATTTCATCTTAAGTGAGCTTTCATAGTTTGTCTTTTTTAAGAATTTGTTTCATCTCAGCTGTCAAGTAAAATAACGTAACCTTGGTAATACTATTTTCTTATCATTCTAACTTATGTGGCTCTGTAATGATGTCTGTCTTTAATTCCTGAGAGAGGGTATTTGTGTATTCTCACTTTTTTTACCTGATCAGTTGGCTAGTTTAGCAATTTTATTAATCTAAAAAAAAAGGCAGCTTTTAGTTTGTTTTTATTTCATTAGTTTTTTGCTTTTCTCTTACCTTCCTATGTTTACTTTGCATTTAATTTTCTCTTACTTTTCCAGACTGTTAAGTCTAAGCCTCTAGGTTAACATCACTGATTCTAGAGCTTTCTTCTTTTCTAACAGAAGCATTTAATTAAGATATGGATTTCCCTCTAAGCATTGCTTTATCTGCATCCCACAAATTTTTCTGTGTTGCATTTTACTTTTCATTCAGTTCAAAATATTTACTGTGACTTTTTTCTTCTATGAGTTATTTAGAAGTGCGTTACTGGCAGATTTGGGGGATTTTCCAACTATCGTTATTATATTTTAATTCTGTTCTGACTTCAATTCTTTCAAATTATCAAGATTTGTATTGGTAAATGTTCCATTCAATGTGTACTTGAAAAGGAGGTATATTCTGTTGGTGTTGATGTTCGGTACAGTGTTCTGTTACATCAATTTTGAAAGTGTTAATTTGTTAATCCCTTCTTCTTTGTCCTCACCAACATTCAGTTTGGTGGTTTTATCAATTACTGAGAGAAGAATGCTAAGATCCCAGACACAATTGTGGGTTGGTCTACTTTTCCCTTCTGTTTGATAAGTTTCAGCTTCACATATTTTAGAGCTAATCAAGAATAATATATTTAAGCTTGCTATGCCCTCTTGGTGAATGTACCCTTTTGTCATCAAGAAATGTCCTTCTTTATGGTATAGTTTCCTTTATGTGTATGCTACTTAAAATTCACTGCACTCCTTGTATGTGTGGGTTTAGAATTTTCATAAAATTTGGGTAAAATGTTTTCTGCTATCTTCCCTTCCAGGAACTGTAACTACACGTGTGTTTGACCTCTTGATGGTGTCTCACAGGTCACAAAAATTCTGTTCAGTTGTTTCACAGTCTTTTTATCTCTATATGCTTCATCCTGGATATCTTCTATTACTATCTACTCTCTCTTCAGTGTCTAATCTTCAAATGCCTTCTGCTTTATTTTTTAATTCAGATATTATATTTTTCTTCCTCAAAAATTCCAACTGGATCTTTGTTACAGCTTTCTAGTCTCATCCTATGTTGTTTCATACATGGTTGGTTCTCCAGTAGTTTAAGGTAGGAAAATAAGTCCTCTCCTGTGACTTCTACAATGGCTAAGATTTGAAAGACCATTCAATACTTGATTTGAAATATAAACCTATCTCAAATGATGCTTCTCTAGGAAAGTTCAAATAAAAACCTAAGTTGCACATCCCGAACATTAGGTGCTCTTTTTATCAGGTAAGTGACTAAGTATGTGTATGGATGTGGCCATCTGTATGCTTTGTTCAATGGTGACATGAATGTTAGATCAGCTTGAAAGGCAGAGACTTTATTTTACCTGAGCTAAAACACATCACAGGAATCTCAAGTCTAATAACTTTCCTCCAACTCTAACTCATTCTCCTATCTTGGATAAGCTATTCATGTATTCCAAAGCCACTGAAGCTCTAAATATCTCCCTCGTTTTCTTTTTTTTTTTTTTTAATTTATTTATTTTGAAAGTCAGAGTTACAGAGAGAGAGATGAAGAGAGAGCTCTTCCATCCATTAGTTCATTCCCCAAATGGCTGCCAACAGACAGGGCTGCGCCAGGCCAAAGCCAGGAGCCAGGAGCTTTGTCCAGTTCTCCTACATGGGCACAGGGGCCCAAGGACTTGGGCCATTTTTAGGAATAGATCTCATTGATATGATTCCATTTATATAAGATTTAAAAATAGGAAAATAATTCTCAAAAGGTGGTTTTTCCTTTCCCTAAGTATTGGGCTGTCTCTGGCAGAAGCCGACAGTGGCACAAGCAGCCAGCTCATCCTCTTCACTGCCATGGGCATAGATCTTTGGCTGCCACAGGACCAGCAGCAGCCACGTGCAGGTCTGGCTGTAGGATAAATATGACACAACTGCCCCTACAGTACAAAGGAGCCTACTCTCCCTGCCATAAAGACAGCAGAAAAAAACTTTTTTTTTCCTTTTTTTGACAGGCACAGTGGACAGTGAGAGAGAGAGACAAAGAGAAAGGTCCTCCTTTCTTGTCGTTGGTTCACCCTCCAATGGCCGCCGCAGCTGACGCACTGCGGCCGGCGCACCGCGCTGATCCAATGGCAGGAGCCAGGTACTTCTCCTGGTCTCCCATGTGGGTGCAGGCAAGCACTTGGGCCATCCTCCACTGCACTCCCGGGCCATAGCAGAGAGCTGGCCTGGAAGAGGGGCAACTGGGACAGAATCCGGCGCCCCAACTGGGACTAGAACCCGGTGTGCCGGCGCCGCTAGGCGGGAGGATTAACCTGTTGAGCCGCGGCGCCAGCCCAGAAAAAACTTCTTTAAAATCTACTGCGTCTTACGTGCCACACTCAGAAATGTCAAGTAACTTAGCAAAATTATTCTAGCTTCTCAGTGCCTGTCCAGCTCCACAATCAAGAGCCTTTCCATATGTGCCACCTGCAAAAAACAAAGGCAAAGCAACACACTCTCGAGTTGTTTCCTTGATGGTTCCACAGCGTTACAGTCACCAGATCAGAGAGCAAAGAGCAGTTCCACCTGTGCCTTTAACTTTCTGTGAGGCTGTAATATTGACCTGTAGGGGCCTCTTTCTCTATGACAAAGGTAGAAGGCAGAGTGTGCCATAAGCCCTCTCTAAGGAGCAACTAAGAACAAAACGCAGACACTTTACAGGTATACAGGACTTACAGAATGTCCACCAGAGCTTCCACTACTGTTACCGCTCAGGGCAGATCTGCCAGCGAGTCTTTCTGTCACTAGGATATCAGAGAGGAAGCATTTAAGAAGAGAAAAGAGGTGCTCAGCTTACAGCTTTAGAGGTTCATGGTCCAAGATGGGGAGGGCCCCGTGGCCTGAACACGGCAATGGTGGGAGCGTGTGTGAAGGAACGCTCATGTGGTGAGCCAGGACACCAGGCGCGAGCAGCCAGGCCTGGCTCCGGCTTCATAACCAACCCTCCCATGAGAACTACTTTCCAGTGACTACAGGTCCTCACAGTGGGCCACCTCCTAGACCAAGCCGCCACCCTTTTAAAATCAGCAATCCATGTTTTGAGACTTAAGCTTCTATAAGTTCAGGAGCTATATCATATGCAACCATAGCAAATAGGAAATGCATAAGGCACAGAGCACGTGTAAAAAAAGAATTAAAACATCTTCCTCTGGGGAAAGTTCTGGTAAAGGGCCACTGCGGAAAGAATGACCTGCCTGGTCATTCTGTGTGCAGCACAGGACTAAGCAGGTTCTGCCCCAGGCCTGAAAACTTAGTCACATCCGAAAGGAGTCTGTGTTTGCGGACTGAGCATACAGATGTGGCTTCTTTCGGAAAGTACTGGTAGCATAGAGCTCTACCGCAGGCCATGGACACACTGCAGCCTGCAGAGAAGGTCACAGAAGCAAAGGTCAAAGGCTATTCGGGCCTACAACTTCTGTAACTAGATGTCAGGTGTGAATAAGATTTTTAGCTAAATGAAAATACTTGGATAAAAAGGACAATTTTTAAATGTTTGCTCTTTAGTTGCCTAGGTTAAGGAAATTAAGAGAGAGAGTTACTTGAGCAAGATTAGGCACTAAAACTATATAATCAATAACTAACTAATATCTAGTCCAGAGTTGCAATCAGACTGTATCTTTGCTACCAGCGCCAACGGTTTGATTCTAGCTGTCAAGACCACCGACTTGGTAAACAGACAGAGGCCACATCTAGGTTTAGCAATAAGGTTATCCAGTATTGTGACTTCTAGGCAATGTCTATGAGAGGCATAGGATAACATTAGCACCAGTGTACTGCCCTTACTCTAGTAAAAAGCATGATATCCTCAATGTATACTTCAGTCTTAGGTGCAACCAGTCCCACTTCCAGGAGAACCTGCTAAGCAGGGAGTCATCAACTTGAAATCTGAATTCCCAGTGTCAACTAAGACTTTTTTTTTTTAGTGTTTTGAGGCCTCCTTGTTTACCGTAAAGTCTAAAAGCAAACCATGTCATCTTTGAACATAATGGTAAAGAAATATAACTGGGTGAAAGTTATCATTCCATTTTTTAAATTCTTCTCCAAAAAACCATTGAGGAAAAAAAACTGAATCCTCTTCCAAAAGTAAACTGCTAGGCAACTTAGTAAGGCAGAGAGACTGTCCGTGGTATAAACAATCATCTTGATTCTCTCTCTACCTTGGGAAAATTAGATGAGTTCACGAAGCCAGGGATGCTGCTACCCACCCCACACTTCACTACTATAACCATCTGCCACAACCCCTCCTGCTCTGTCCCCTGCTCCTGGCACAGTAGGAACTGGAGCCCAGGTATCCTCACTACCTTTCAGTAGGCTCTGCCACACAGATAAAACCTATGTATGATGATAAAATTACACACTCCAGGGGCCAGCATTGTGGCTTAGCAGGTAAAAGCCGCCTCCTGCTACACCAGCATCCCACCAGAATGATAGTTCAAGACCCAGCTACTCCACTTCTGATCCAGCTCCCTGCTAATGTGCCTGGGGAAACCAGCAGAGGATGGCCCAAGTGCTTGGGCACCTGCATCCATATGGAAACCCAGAAGAAGCTCCTGGCTCCTAGTTCATTCTGGCTAAGCCCCAGCCATCATGGCCATTTGGGAAATGAACCAACGGATGGAAGATCTTTATTTCTCTCTCTATAACTGTGCCTTTCAAATAAATCATTGAAAAAAGAAATTTCAGCCTCCAGCTTACCAACAAGGTCACTTGCTCTTACTTAAAATGGTATATTTTGAAAGGTAAACATGGTTAAACACATTACTCTGTCAGTTAAACAATACACAGGCAAAGAGAAAACATCTATTCATCCAAATGTTAAGACTGATCCAATTGACTGGTTTTACCTATGAAAACACCAGGGCCCAAAAGGCAGATGGTAATTTATCTATCTCTGTATGCGGGGAGAATAATTCAGAGTCTGAGAACCAATTTGTATCGTCTCATGAGTGACCCAGAAAAGATGAATAACCCTGGACAGGCTAAAGCAACAGCCCAAAATCTGTTATTCAGTCACCAGCGCTTAGTCAGAGACCATCCAGGTAGACGATTTTGTGTGGCAACTTGCCCTGTAACTCCTCTGGGCACGTAATATAACGAGTGATATAATGAAGACATTATCCAGGGAACTAGTGCCTACAGTACTAGCCTTGTGAGACTGACAGCGAGGGGACTGTTCCCCTGTCCCTACATGAGAACACCTAGCAGGGTGTGCTGCCAGAAAGCCAACCTCCAACTCCTGCAACTCTGAATCGCTGTCTTTGTGCTGCAAACATGTACTTTTGGAGGCAGCAATGAACACATGTAAATGCAATCTGTGCTGACACTGTAGAGGGCCTTGGTCTGGTGAGGTCCATGCCACCTCCACCTATGTTAACCAGACACCTACTGTGAACGGTGAGCTGGCTTCTGCAGGATACACAGATTTTTTTTTTTTTTTTTTTTTTTTTTTTTTTTTTTTTGACAGGCAGAGTGGACAGTGAGAGAGAGAGACAGAGAGAAAGGTCTTCCTTTGCCGTTGGTTCACCCTCCAATGGCCGGCCGGCGCACCGTGCTGATCCGAAGGCAGGAGCCAGGTGCTTCTCCTGGTCTCCCATGGGGTGCAGGGCCCAAGCACCTGGGCCATCCTCCACTGCACTCCCTGGCCACAGCAGAGGGCTGGCCTGGAAGAGGGGCAACCGGGACAGAATCCGGTGCCCCGACCGGGACTAGAACCCGGTGTGCCGGCGCCGCTAGGCGGAGGATTAGCCTAGTGAGCCGCGGCGCCGGCCTTACACAGATTTTTTAAAAAAGGAAAAAGAGAAACGTTTGAAAGTTTCAAGATGCATACTTTTAAAAAAAGTAAAGGACACACACCCACAGACGGGTTTGGTTTCTCATCAGAATGCTCTGCCAAGAACTTACACAAGTGCCATGGGCTCACGAGGGTGAGTTGCTCAATTGAAACTTGCCTCCTGCGGGATTCCTGTACTAGCAGAGGGAAGTTTCCCCTCTTTATCTAAGGTGAACAGTGAGACTTTAAGAAAATAATCTGGGTCTGATTTTGCTTCAGTTTGCATCCCAGGTCAAGAGTCTGCAGCTCTGAATAATGAGAGAACAAATGGATCTGCTCCACCTCCTCTGGTTACTTCCAAACTTGGCACTCAATCACAGGACAGTCATCACTTAGAGAAAAGTGCTATCTTTTTCTAGTGTTCCTTTCACATATAGTAAAAATCTTATATATATATATATATATATATATATACACACACACACACACACACACATGGCCCTATAATCAAAAAATATAGAAAGGTAAACAATTTGAAAAGTCTCACTCACACTTCTGTGCTACCTACCCTGTTCTCTCAAACCTGTACAAAAATTTGCTGGTAAAATTAGTTTACTGTATATTCTTCTAGAGTTTGGTTACTTAAACACATGAATGAAATAGATAAATATAGAAAGATGATTTTTTTCTCTCTTTATTTTAACCAAAGGTAGCATTCCATGTACACTGTTTTGCAATGGGCTTTTCCATTTCATCATTTATGCTTGGATCTTTTCAATCAACACACAGAGTTTCCATGCACAGTGGCCCTGGGTCTAACAGGTGACAGCAGTTTATCAGCATGGGTTACCAGGGAGCACTAGGCTCACGTTAGCTGTGAGAACACACACTGGACCTCAAACCCAACAAGGAGGTAGAACTGACCGACCCACTGCGATTTCTCCACAATGCCCTCACAACACTTCTTCCACAGAACCTGTACCAATAGGCTGATCTTAGACTGGCGGTTCTGCTCCCCTGACAGACTAGATAGTCCTCAAAGGTAAGAACATGGTTCATTATCTTGTTTCTTATCTGTTGAGCCTTGTACAGTGAGACACACAACAGCACCTCGTATGAGCATGTTGAGGGAGAGCATGTTAAGAAGGAAGGAATGTTGAAAGAAAAAGCATGGGATTGTAAGAAAGCCAGTGAGTCCATCCGTACCCCAATAAACTTTTTAAAAAAATGACAGTAATTAGTAGCAAGAGTGAGGATGAGCAAACATTTATGTGAAACCCAAAATGCTGATGGGGTGTGACTACAAAACAATAAGCTCAGCTCCCATAATTAGTCTGTCATCCCAACGGGAAAATATTTAGATGAAATGCCATTCCCCTAAATAAGCCTTTCTAACAAATTCATTGGAAAAACAGACTACTCAAATTCCACTCCTTTGTTTAAAAACTGAAGAAAAGAACAATTCCCTCTCTTTCTCTCTCTCTCTCTGCCTCTCCTCTATGTAATTATGACTTTCAAATAAATAAATCTAAAAAAAATCCAAGAATCCAAGAAAAATCAAAATCTAATCCTAATACAAGTGGCAAAGCAATTTTTTATACTATGAATAAAAATTCTAATTATACTAAAGCATTTCAAATGGAATGTAAGTTGCTGAACTTTGAAATAAGCATGAATTCTTCTGTAACAGTATAAACTATCATCACTCTGGAATGAAGAAATGTCTTCCCTGGCCAGTTTCTTCAGGTGGCTACAAGCTACTAGTCAAAGTTTCAACCTGAAAATCTCAACTCGGGCTAAGTCCTTAGAATACATAACCATATTACTTCTTCCAACTTCCTCACATACAGATTGGTCTCAAGATTTGGGCTCATCTGTCCTGCCGTGAAGGGGCTATTTCACGTCACCTTCTTGCCCCCAGACTGAAGAAGGAAGGGTGCTTCTGCCAAGGTTTCCAGAAGGCAGAACACTGTGGGAAGACCAGGGTCTTTAGCACTGGGCTTGGGTTTAAATTCTGACTCTACTGGCACCAACAGTATCACTTTGAGCAACTCTGCTACTCTCTCTGAGGTTCTACTTACCTTGGAAAAGTAGGGGTGGTTCAAACTTTCTAGAGCTGCTAGGCAGACATTAGATTTCATATCCAAAAGTGATGAGCACATAACAGAGACTCAATAAATGTTACTTTCTTGTTCCACTTTTTTTCACAGTCACAAAATATATATTCAACATTCTTTTTTTTTAAATTTTTTAAATTTATTTATTTGACAGATAGAGTTAGACAGTGAGGGAGAAAGATAGAGAGAAAGGTCTTCTTTCCATTGGTTCACTCCCCAGATAGCTGCTACGGCTGGAGCTATGCAGATCCAAAGCCAGGAGCCAGGTGCTTCTTCCTGGTCTCCCACGTGGGTACAGGCACCCAAGCACTTGCACCATCCTCCACTGCTTTCCCAGGCCATAGCAGAGAGCTGGACTGGAAGAGGAGCAGCCCGACTTGAACCCGGCGCCCATATGGGATGCCGGAAGTGCAGGCGGAGGATTAACCAAGTGAGCCATGGCGCTGGCCCCATATATTCAACATTCTAAGAGCAACAGTTTTTTCCTACTTTGGGCCCATGTTTAGGTCTGCTGGTAGCCAGGTCTTAATTTATTATAATATTTATACACATATTCAAGATGACCTGTGCCAGATCTTTAAAAGATGTCTTGATGAAGAATGAATGAATAAAACTTCAAGAGCTGTCAATCTCCTGCCCTTGCGTTCAAGAACAATTGTGCAACAGCCTAACTGCCTTCTAGAACCTTTTATTTCAGCTCCCACTGATTTATGGGAATTGTCACTGTCTTAAGAATGAATGATCAACTTATTTATTCTGAAGAAGCCACTAGTAAGAGGAATTATGAGACGGCATCTGGTGCAGAAATCTTTGGTAGAATTCTGGATTTCTATTTAGTTTGTAAAATTCTGTGAATCCTCATAGGGTATCAATTTTTGTCCTATGAACATAGGTTTATTTTAGAGAAAAAATCTGCTTCGCATTTATTTTGACACCCTATTCTGGGTTTACTTACTTCAACATTTGAAGAAAACTAGGAAGCTACTATACCAGTTACATTATTTATATTTATATTATAATATACTGCATCAGCATTTATACAGTTAAATTCACCACACAGTGCTAAATAACTCCTAAGGGGGAGAAAAATAGCCTGGGATTTAAGCCAGAAAGACAACAGTATACAAAAACTGTGAATTGCTAGTGACGTGCAGCATTTTGTTTACGGTTTAAACAATTTTATTGCTTCAGAATTTTTTTTATGATTCAAGGATAGTTTGCTCTCATTCTTGTGTTTTATAGTTCAGCAGAAACACAAAAACTTCCTGCCTCTATCCTGCCATATAACAAAAGAGCAGGAGTTAGCATGCACTATTTTTATGTTGACAGCCAGAGCTGTTTTGAGCTATTTTAGAACAGTCCAATGCTTATGCCAAGAAAAAAGGTTAGCAAGACATTAGCAAGCTAACGAGTACCTTTTCAGCTTTTGACCACTTAATAAGTACATTTCTGTTTTTAACAACCCAAACGTCTATCTTGCAAAATCATAAACAATAATGTAATTCATTCACATAAGCCATTAAACCATAATTAGAAAGTCTTACCTTTTGCGCATCTCCTGTAAAATATGCAATGGCCAGGGTGGGCAGAATCATGAACAGTGCATTGTAGTAGAGCAGACCATATTTTCCCAGCTCCTAGGATAGTAAATAATTACATGTTTCATTTGGTTCTGGCAGATAAATATACAAAGCCTCATATAGAATACCACCCCAAATACACATATGCATCATTCTGTGTCACTCTTTTCAAAGTTTAAAGTGTTTTTAACTTCAACAGCTGCACTTAGCTCTAAAATGCAGCAGTATGCCTTTATGCCATTTGTCTCGTGCAGTCGTAAAACCATAGGTAATAAAACTCCCAATTCATTTAGAGCATCTTAGTATGGCCATGCTGCTTCTAGGATAAACCAAACAATGGATTGCTTCTAGTCACAAGCATCAAAAAATGGGCCTCAGGTGTATGGCAGCAGGAAAAGTCATACTGGGACAAAACCTTTAAAAACGGGTGCTCCAGGCAGGGCTTTGGCCTGTCACTGAGATGCTTGCTTCACATCAGAAAGCCTGGGTTTGACTTCTGATCCAGCTTCCTGCTAATGCAGATCCGGGGAGGCAGGAACAATGACTCAAGCAATTGGGCTCCTGCCACCCACAAGGTAGACCTGGACCGAGTGCCTGGCTTCTAGTTTCAGCCCCCAGCCATGACAGGCATCTGTGGGGTGAACCAGCAGATGGGAACTCTCCTCTGGGTGTGTGTGTGTTTCTCAAATGAAAAATAACAGGTTTCCTGTCCATCAGCCTGCCATGACTGTCATCCAGGAGGCAGAGGAGGTGCATGTGGGCACATCTGCACAGACAGGCACCAGCTAGATAACTGACACACAACAAAGCCATAAACGCCGAACCTGTTCTGCTATTCCTCTCACACTAACTGTTTTGAATGCCTTTCTCCCCACCTTTTACACAGACAAAAATCTGACATAGGGTTTCATCAGAGACATGTTAGTGTATTATGTTCTTTTACAGTGTTGCCTGGAATGCTGCTTAATAGCCCCTGTGTACTTTGTTTCAGTACTTCTGTCTTTTATAGTGTTCCTGTTTATTTTTCTAGTCGTTGGTACACTTTTCATACTGTTGGTAAGCCTTGTCTCTACAAAGAATTCCACCTTCAAGTTGGTGACTTCCAATTTGCAAGCTTGCAAAAGCAGATCCATAACCTTAAAAGCTGTGACACCAGTCAGTCATCAATCAATTCTGAATGAGGAACTAAAGGGCTCTCCTACGAGTGAAACACACAGAAACCTTCTTTACTTCTTCCTAGGTTCTAAGTACTCTAGACTGTGCTACGATAGTAGCCACCAGCCACAGGTAGCTATTTAAATTTAATCTTAGTTACACAAAGCTACTAACTCCTTTCCTAGCAATATATTAGTCACTTTTCAGATGCTCATCAGCCATGTATGTGGAGGCTACTGATAATGGACAGCAGAGATATAGAAGATTTCCATCAGCACAGAGAATTCTACTGGGCGGAACTGCTTTAGACAGCTGAAGCTGCCAGACAAATGAAATACTAATATTAGTATCTGCTTTCCAAAGCAACAGATCTTAAAGAAAACAACAGAATTCTAACTTTTGTTTTCTTTTCTCTATTTAAACAACATGAAAATTTTTAGTAGTAGCTTCCCTTAAATAATTTATTATATATATTTCATGAACAACTACAAGGAAATGTCAAAACTGCTGATTATCCTACACAGTGTATACATGCATTGAAATGTTGCACTATGGCCCATGAATATCTATAAATACTGTCAATAAAAAAAACTTTTAATGCAATTCTCATAGTCATCAAGGCAAGTAAGTATAGGACAAGACACAAAAGGGGTACTTTTGTGTTGCAAACAAATCACACTGTCCTTGATTCTTCAGTCATTCCAAAACAAAAATTCTATGAGAATAATGAAATCGGCTGGGACAGCCACACAATCTACAGTTCTTTTCTAGAAGAGAAGGCAAAGCCCCAGGCTGAGATAACACCAACTTGATACCAACACTGCTATTATGATCTGAAGTAGTTTAAAAAACACTATACATCCGGCAGAGCAAACTAAGCAGAGAGGGTGATCCAACTGCAGAGAAAATACAGATAGCAAAATGAGACAGATGGTTAGAAGACTTAATTATGAGATAAAAACCTTGCAGCTACTCAGGAAAACCTGCAGTGACAGTTATGACAAACATTTCCTCTGCGTCCTCACACAGGATACATCATGACGTCAAGGAGTGCTCCCTCAATAACCAGCCATGACACAGAGAGCTGAGCTCCCAGAGCTGTTTCTCACAGTGAAGCCACCTCAGAAAGTGATGTTCCAAAAACAGTGTGGCTCAAACACTTAGCTTTCTGATCTAAAAGTAAAATTAAATGTGACTATATTCAAAATACGAAGTAAACACACAAAAAAATCTTAAAAAGCCCTTGTGCACATGCTACAAGCAGAAGGCGAAGAACTAAGGAATACAAAGTTCCCGTGTATGAGATTTCAAACAGGTACTCAGTGTTGCCCTGAGACAGGGGGACAGAGATCCTGGTTGCTGCCTAAAGCATCCCACTTCTTCCAGGGAAAACACACAAAGGCCACCCTCACTCTGCAACCGCTTCCAACACTCACTTGCCTTCAAATCACCAGAGGGATTCCAGCCATTTCTCTTTCTTATTCCAGGTTCCTTAGCAAACTGCTCTACAACACAGCCACAAACATTTATGACATTCTTCTCTAACGAACTTCCTGACTTCCCCTACCCCACTCTTAAGAAGTCAACAGTCACATAATCCCTTCTAGAAAAGCCACCAATAAAGCCTAAAGTGCTAATTAATTAAAAATAGTTCCTTCTGTGAGCACCCAAGTATTGGCATCTTAGTCTCAGAGACCCCCTCATGTCTTTCCTATGCCTCCTAAGTGTTTTTCATTATCCCTGGTTTTTTTCCTTGATGAACTGACATTATCATTCCCCAAACATCAATTAAAGAAGCTTTAGATTATTACGTACTTTTGAATCTAATTTTTGTTTTACGTATGCACCATTTGCTGCTGTCAGGACATCGTTTATCAGAATAAAAACATATCCTTCCAGATCAAATGCCAAGTCGGAGCTGCAAAACATAAGCAACACTTTAAGAACAACTTAGATTTAAAGAACACACATTTCATTTTAAATACCTCCAAACTATCTGCAGGAACATCTTATCTAAGTGAACATTAGACGTTTTATAAGCTGCTAGTATTCCTTGCTTCCTGGTCACAGTTTGCAATGTCATGCTCAAAAAGGGATTGTTTTATAAACAAGAATCACTAACACTGAAACAGAGCATTAGCAATAATCAATCATATCAGTTAACAACACTGCTTTGAAGTCAAAGTCAGGAAAGAACAAGCAACCAAATCCACCATCACAGTAAATCTGTGAAACAGACAGAAGCTTCAATTTCACAGATAAGGCAATCAAAAGGATGAAGTTGTTAAGTATCACCGTGCAAAGCTTCACACAAAAGGTAGGACTATCCAGCACAGGCAGCCGGGTCACCGGATGGAATTTCTGAAGCGTGAACTGTGGTTAGTTCTTGATCTCATCAAGCTACAGTAGTGTCTAAGCACACAGCAGGAACTTAAATAACTGCTCAAAAAACCTGCAAGATTTAACTGGTTGGATTGAGAAAACTGAAAATTTCTGGTGCTTAGTAGAGTACCAGGCACACAACAAGAACTCAGTAAATTCAACAGAATAAATGAAAATCTGAGACAAGTATGCCTCCGGCATTCTTTAGCACCCTCACTACAACAGTGGCCTCACCTCTGATGACTGTGATAATACTACAGACTTCCAGCTAAACTGTTAAACAGAACCAAGACTTCTGAGGAGCTCAACGCCACTGCAGTCCGAGGTAGAGCTAGCCTAATGCACAGGCCACCTACCCTAAGCAGTCTCACAAGCCTCTGACTTCTTTCAATTCCCTTTCCCAAGTCAAAGGTTCTAATTAGACAAGGCTGGTCCAGACAGCAATCCCCCTCAGAAGCTTTCCCAGGCCAGAGTCAGCCTGAAGAAGCCCTGCTGTTGTGTACGTGTGTGGATCCCAACAGCATCAAGCACACCATTTAGAGGTTAGCCGAGCGTCTCGAAGAAGAAGAAAGGAAACAGAATCTAGAAGGAGGAGCGGTCAGCTATATAATTAAATTCTAGTAACCAGTCGTGCCGCTGTTTGTTTTTAGAATGAAATTTCACTTGCAGAGCTGGGGTAAAGCAGGATTTGACTCACAATATTTTCTGCTGCCTATAACACAGGGACATGAGGAAGGTACATGAGCCAGTGCAGGAACACTGGAGCTCTCAGAGAGGAAATGCGTGTCAGACAGACTCTGTGGCATCAGCAAAGCCATATATGCACGGCCTGAGCTGAGTACAACATAGATGCCTTCTAGCCACCACTTCAATCTTCTGAGTTTTGGGGTGTAAACTTTCACCATATATTTAAAATTGAAACTTATGAAACACAGGGAAACGTTTAGTATTCATTTAATCGAATAGTGTTACGGTATTTGTGGTACATCTTAAGGGAAGCCAAATAAAGCATGCTGTTATTCATTATTCTACAAGGCAAACGAGGCACTGCTGTTTTCTCCAGCTCACAGAAGGGCAGACGCTAAATTTCTTTTGCAGCATACAAAGAGGAAGACTGCCACATGGGTTATAAAATCACACAGGCTACAAAGGCAGGCACAGGCTCAAATCCCAGCTCTGCACCTTGGCTAGCTGTGCGACCTTCAGCAAGTTCCTGACTTAAGTTTTAGTTTTCTCAGCTATGAAATAGCAAAATTACACCCACACTTCAGGAGTGGTTGTGAGAACACAGAAATGTGCAACACTGAACAGATTAAGTGCTACTTGGAAAGTACTCAGTAAGAAGACAGTAACAAATTCTAATTGTATTCAACGAACTCTTAAGATCCCAAGAATCTTAATGTCATCAGCCCTAACCTTAATAGAACCAGAAAGATTTTTTTTTGAAACTTTTTTGTGTGCTTTTCAAGGATATGTTTGGTACTCAGACTATAAACAATTATTTTTACTGATAATGATCATTTATTAGCAATAATTACTGACAATTATGTGGTATATATTAGCCCAAACTTACCTGGCAGCTACAAAGGCTCCAATAATCATTGCAAATACAGTCATTTTAACGCCCCAAGAAAAACTTTTCCTACAAAATAAAATAATTTAAACTTTCATAGGTGTGACTTTAGTTATTTACATAGATTCACAAACATTTCTAAGACATCGGATATTTAAAAGAACCTTCTGAGGAAGCAAAAACTCATTTTTGTTATATAAATATACTTTAGTCTTCCTATGTTATTATTAGTGAGTGTGAATGTTTATAAATCAGAATTTCTTTAAGTAGGAAAAGGTCACACATATGTGTAGTAAAAGTACTAAGACATGAATATTATTTAAAACCTGTATCTACAATTCTGACCCAGTGGCAGGAATTCTAGGAAACAAATCTCACGTTCAGATAGGCTTCCAACTCCAAATTCATAACCCTCCCAACTACTGCTCCACAAATTATCAATTCCAACACCAAAGGGAGAAAGTTGCTTAAACTTTCAAAAATTGGAGTAGAAATAAGACAAATTATTTTAGTACCTCACATAGTGGTGGGTACCTTTTCAAGGTGATTAAAATTGTTCAAAGAATAGATACATTAGAAATTTAGCTCACTTGAGTAAAACTCCTTCAGCAATCATTGTAAACAAGATGGAGAACCTCCTCAGAACTGTAAACATTGGCAAGCTGCAGAAATAAAAATAAGTAGGTAACATAAGGTTTTAAGCCAAGATTTTCCAAATCAGTAGTTTAAAATAATGTTAATCTCTTACTTCCATTAGGAAATTCCATATTAACTAAACTGTTTACTATAGCATGGTAGAGCTGATACATCCATTATCAAGCACTAATAACACCTAAGTTTTAATTTTATTCTGCTAATTATGCAAACACCCTAAATTGTAACCATGTCAGTCTTTAAAGGTGGGGAACAAATAAGGCCATCCAAATCATTTGGTCTGGCCCTGCTAAGGCAACCACAGATGGGACTGGATATGTATAACAGGCTAATTTTTAAGTGGATAATTCTGCATGGCCTGTGAATGATGTTATACATATCCAAATGGCCCTTGGCGGGGGAAAAAAAAAGGTTCCCCACCTTTGCACTGAAAAAGACTTCTTTGTTCTGTATTCACTGGACTGTCTTCCCTTCCCATCTCCTAGACCACCCCAAAACATCTATGAAAATCCTAGCCTATGGAAAGTTCTTTGTCCTTTGGTAAATCCCCAGAGCATTTGGCTTACATGCACTAATCAGATGCGCAGCCTCATACGATGTCATTATTTCTGAATATACCCTATCTCACTCTAAAATGCCTTCTACTTAGCTGGCAATCACAGGTAGAGTATGAATGAACGACGGAGGGATGACAATGGATGGGAAGAAAGCACACTCTATACCAGCAGCACCTCGAAGAAGGCCTGCATTTCTTTGCAAGTGGGTCAGCATGTGGGAAAGGATGCCCCACCCAAGATAAATCTGCCTTCCTTGGAACATTCTCCAGAGATGTCACCTTGGTCATTCTGTCGGGTTTCTTGAGTTTAAAAGAGGAAGAAATGAAAACTGTCTCACAATTGACCCTCAGACATCTTCCCAGTCTGTTTTACAATCATCCAATTGCTCATGTGGAAGTGGGGAAGCCACGTTAAATGGTTTCCCTATGTGAGTAGTTTTAATATCACACACACCCAATACATACTACACTCCTCAACTGGAGAGGCCAGGGATTGCGAGGTGCGAAGAGAATAAGACAGTGTTGACGTGGAGTGGAGAGCTACTGCTTCTTTGAAAAAATGAATACAGAGTCTCTATGGTTGTACTGCCATAGGAAGCTATCAATCAGACTTGTATCAGGGTTCCATCTGATTTTAACTACTTCACGTTAAGAGAAAAGGATAGTTCTAGTGCCCACCCTCTGGTTTAGCTGTATGGAACTGGTCTAATATTACTATGCATGAACTATATTACATAAAGAAATGAAATCTCAGAACGCTAGCATATTCATTACTGCAGATCTGGAAGAATAATAAAAAAATCTCCTGCCACACCATTTTATAACATTTTACAACTTCTACCATTAAAATGGGGTTAGGGGACAAAAACCAACCAACAATGGCTCTTTCTCTTCGAAGGAAAAGAGTTTAAACGAAAATCTTTGGTGCAAACATCATTATTTAGTAATAGAAACTTTCTGCTCCTTTTGGTTTTTTCAGGATCAATTACAACGTATTAAACAGTTGACATTCAAGTACAATTTTAAGAATACATTACAGTAACCTCACTAGGAAAATAAAGTTATCCATACTTCAGTTTCTTTGTGCTGAACAGTCCCGTGATTTGGTTCCCAAAATATAGTAGAGGTAGTGGAAACGTCTAGAAAATTTAAAAAGGGATAACAAAACTCAATAATAAAGACAGCTCAAATAGGGTCCTTTCAAACACAAACAGTTTCCGCTATAAGATCAAATTCTTTCTGCTTAAAACAAAAGATGAGTTCTCATACACAACTTGGACCCCCATGAAATTCACAAACCATATCAACTTTTCATGAATACACAGCATTACCTGGGCAGAAACAGGCAGAGGGGGGAAGACAGGCAAGAAAAGACCAACACAGCACAGAAACATCATCTGCTTTAACATATAAGATAACAGTGCTCGACTTTAATGCCAGCAGGAAAGCAGAGTCAGGTAGGGGGAGAGATAATACCAAAATAAACCCCACAGAGAAGCAGTGCAGGATACACTGGCTGGATTATGGATTAGGGGGATACAGAACTGCAAAGCTGTTTACTCTCAACAAGTCTGCATCAACTACCACAGAAAAGTCTCAGGGTTTTTTTTTCTCTTCCTCTTTATTTTAAAGAGATTGAGGGACCCCTTCAACCCATGTCACTACACACCAATTCTTTACCTTCATTATACCCACTCTGCGAAGGGCAATTTGGAGACAGCAATTTTTAAACATGCAAGACACGGATGCAAAATATACAATGATTTCTTTTCATAGAGTATCAGTGGTTTTTTTTTCTCTCTCTCTTTTTACCTTTCGAGGTACATTTCTGTCAAAGTCAGGAAACTTGACTACTCGGAGGGCCTTTCCCACCCAGAGAACTGCCACTGTGGCCACCATCTGCAGAGAACACAGATTCACTGTTCCACACATAAAGACACACACACAAGTTCTGACAACACCAACCCCTCCTGCGGAAGAATCCCACTAACCTGGCCAAGTCCAACACATAGTGAGGAGGGAAACCTACAAAAAGAGTAGAGAGAGAGAAAAACAGTTAGAAAAACCCAGTTGTAGCTCTGGGATCGTAACTTGCACATCGGCAACCTCCAAACGCCTCTTGATACAATTCACGCCAACCGCTAACCCGCTTCGCCAAATAAAAATCCTTGCGGGCTGTGAGGCCACACCGCCGATTCTGTAGCCTCGGGCGGTCACTTGTCTCATCCTGTCCCACTCTACAATTGCTGTCCCTGCCTGCAACGCATTCCTCAAGGAAGTTAAGACAGATCTCAGCAACGGGCTCACACCTTTCAAAAACAAAATCTAAAGCAACTTCGGCTGCAGAGTCCCGGGGGCAGCAAGAGGATAAACCGCACCAGAGCGTGAGGATGCGCACCGTCCCCCAGGGGGCTGTCAGCCGCCGAGGTGGGCACCGAAGCCCGCGCGTGCGAGCCCGGTCCCCGCTGCGGAGGACGGAGGGCATCCCTGCCTCTCCTCCCTGCAGGCGAGCACGGGACCAGAAAGTCACTGAGCCACTCGCTCCATCGCTCTGAACGCCCCGAAAGGCAGGGCTCTCGGGGCGCTTGCACCTAGGGCACAGCAGGCGCTGTCCCCAAAGCGGCCCCCGCCGCGCGCGCCGGGCCGGCCGGGGCTGGGCGCGAGCGGCAGGACCCCCGCTCCAGGCCCGCGCACCGAGCCGGCCCCGCAGCCCGGGCCGCGCGCGTCCGCCGCCCGCCCTGCCCAGCTCCCGCCCAACTTTGTTCAGCTTCAACTTTGGCAGCCAAAGTCCAGGCAAGCAGGCGCGCCGCCGCCGCCGCCGCCCGCTCCTCCTCCGCGGCCTCGGCGCCGCCGCCTCGGCCCTACCTGTAATTGGTGAGCACGCTCTTGTTCACCACCACGATGAGGAAGGAGCTCACGCCGTAAAAGCCGGCGGCCAGCAGCTTCAGAAACACGGTCAGCGTTTCGGCCGACGCCATCCCCAGCTCCTCCTCATCTCTGTGTGTGGAGGATTTCGCGGGGGCTTCTCCTTTAACCCGAGCATGCTGACGTCTATGAACTTCCGCCATGGCTGCGGCGGCGGCGGCGGCGGCGGCGGCGCGGGCCTGAGGGGAGCTGCGCGCGGGCCTGGCGGCGGCGCCGAGCAACGCGGGGGCCTGCGGCGGCTTCCAGGGACTTGCGGGCTCGGGGCTCGCGACCCGGGCGGCTGCACGCTGGCTGCCTCGGCTCCCCGCACTGCCGCCGCCCGTCCCCGCCCAGGGGCAGGGACACTGGGGTTCACACCCTCGGGAGACTTTGCTCCGCGGCATTGTGCAACGCGGGGTCACACGGTAGGGACGCCACCGCTCGCCCGGGTCTGGGCAAGGGCTGGTGAGGGCCTGGAGAACGGGGCGATCGCGAGTGCGGGACGCAGAGGGAGAAGCCTCGGGGACCGGACGGGGGCACCGGAGCGCCAGGCGGCAGAGTACGGACGCTGAGCGCTGCGGTCGCCTTGCGCCTGCGCGGGCGTACGCGCTGGGTCTCCGCAGGACGCGTACCTGAGGGGACGGTGCGGGCCACCGGAGGGGCTGGAGGGCCCTAATCTCCAGATGACTGCCCCCGCGAAAGTGCAGCCCTCCGCCCTCCTTTAACAGGTGGCCGGGTGGGTAGCTGGGGTCCGCTGCGGCTGGGGTCGTGGCAGATGCGGCTCACTGTACGCACTCAGATATTCCGGTCTGCAGTGCCTTGGCCTTCTCCCACGTTTTGAACCCAGAAGACACCGAACAGCGCTTGCTTTTGCAGATCAAGGAGGAATTTTTAAGGAAAAGTGTTGACAGAGCCTCCCCCCCCCCCCAAAAAAAAGTAACATGATAAACAAGCAGCTTGGGGATTGGTGGAAGTGCAGGGTGTTTGGTGCCTAGGAGATTTGAGTTCCAATTGTAAGATTCCTGGAGATGTCCCCAACCCTTAGCTGTGTGCCCTTGGACCAATGAAATCTCTCAGCCTGGAGCGCCCAGCTCTATGATGTAAAGCTAGCAGGGAGCTAGTTCTCAGTAAGTGGGAGCCGTTATTTCACAACATAAGCAGATCTTCACTTTTAAGTGAAGAAATCTATTTTATAGCAAAAAAACACTTTGAATTATTTCTCTAAGTGCCTGGATGATACCTTTGAAAATATTTTTCCTTATTTTTGAAGTATAAAAAAGGTATAAGGTTTATCATTTAAACCCTTTATGGATTGCACAGTAAAATGGCATTAAGTATATTCACCTTGTTGTACACCCAGCACTTCTAATCTATCTCCAGCACTTTTTCACCACCCCAAACCAAAACTTTTTTTTTGTCATGGTTTTTAATTTATTTATTTGGTGGGCAGAGATCTTGATTTGCTGGTTCACTCCCCCAGATGCTCACCGCAGACAGTGCTTGGCCAGGTAAAACCAAGAACCTAGAATTCAATCCAGGTCTCCCATGTGGTTTTCAGGGACCCAAGTAGTTGTGCCCTTACCTGAGGCCTGTCAGTAACAGGAAGCTGGAATTGGAAGCAGATCTAAGATTCAAACCCAGGCACTACACTACAGGATGCAGCAGCATCCAAATACTGAGAACACTGCCTCCTCCCCATGCCTGCCACCACCACCTGAAACTGAAATTCTTCACCCAGTAAGCAGCCATTCCCCATTCCCTACCCTGATCCCCCACAGATTAGTGTCCTGCTTCCAGTCTTTACGAATTTGACTACCTGAGGTACAATAAGTCTTCAGTATGTAGTATGAAAAAAACTATGCACAGACTACAAAAAATATTTTACACCAAAATAATCTCTCTTTTTTTTAAAGATTATTTATTTATTTATTTGACAGGTAGAGTTACAGACAGTGAGAGAGAGAGAGAGAGAGAGAGAAAGAAAGGTCTTCCCTCTGATGGTTCACCCCTTAAATGGCCACAACGGCCAGAGCTACACCGATCTGAAGCCAGGAGCCAGGAAATTCTTCAGGGTCTCCCACGTGGGTGCAGAGGCCCAAGCACTTGGGCCATCCTCCACTGCCTTCCCAGGCCACAGCAGAGAGCTAGACTGGAAGAGAAGCAACTGGGACTAGAACCCAGCGCCTATACGGGATGCTGGCACCGCAGGCGGCTGCCACTGTGCCGGCCCCCAAAATAATCTTTTAATTCCATTTTTTTCAAGAACTTTTGTAGTTCCTCATGTAAATGGAATCATCCATTATTTGCCTTTTTGTAACTGGTATATTTTTACTTAGCAGGTTTTCCAGGTTCACCCATAATATATGGTAAATAGAATTAACAAATTGATCTCCAAATAGGTTGTACCAATTCTGTATTTCCACTAACACTGCACGGGAATGAAACCCTGTTTCATAAAGTCAGATGGCAACAGTTGAGAAAACAAAGAATTAGATAATAGTTCAGGTTCTACCCTGTGAGGCATGAAATGCCAGGTACAAATTTCTGCAATGAATCAATAGCAATTACACACAACGAAAATAAGTCTAAGAGTAATGATCCAAGCAGCTACTATTGTTTTTCCTCAGCATGATTAGCTTGTTTATTAACAAGTATTTATTAAGAGCTACTAAGAGCTGGATTGGATTTTCTCCACACCAGTAATGATTGGGTTGCTATGTACATTCAGCAAAATGCTATGGCATCTAAGGGAGTCCAGCATAAAGGTAATATAGAGAAAACATACATAACATACATACTCGAATAGGAATTCACCCCTCCCCCATCTTTAGGTACTTAGACTGTTAGGTAATGTTTGGTATGAGGTTACTTTGAAAAGTTCATGGAAGTGCGTATTATGAAAAGGCTGCAGGGATTTTACATTTTTCTTATACCAAAATTAACATCTATTCATTCCGTTTTTGGATGAACTGTTTGAATTTCCCTCAATAATATTAATCATAGAATTATATATCAAAGGGGCTAGCCCTGTGGCATAATAGCTGAACTGCTGGCATCCCATATGGGCACCAGTTCATGTTCCAGCTGCTCCTCTTCCTATCCAGCTCCCTGCTAATGTACCTGGGAAAGCAGTGGAAGATGACCCATGTGCTTGGGCCCCTGCACCCACGTGGGAGACCCAGAAGAAGCTCCTGGCTCCTGGCTTCGGATCTGCTCAGCTCCAGCCATTGTGGCCATTTAGGGAGTGAACCAGCAGATGGAAGACCTCTCTCTCTGTCTCTCCCTCTATCTGTAACTCTGCATCTCAAATAAATAAATAAATTTTTTTTAAAAAAGAATGACATATAAGGGTTTGCGTATTTGATAAAATTGAATAAATATTGAAGCATGTATATAAAAAATTTATGGGATTGGAAAGACTGCATTAAATGTTCTCATTGATATACAAGGCTATTCTGGAAAGTTCAACTTTGTTAGTTGATAAGTTTTGTGTCTTGCTGTATAGAATGACTAGCAGAAAAATCTCTGCAGTTAGATCATGCTTTTTTATCACAATATTGCTTTTAGCCCTCATGATTCCTCATAAGGGAAATTTGATTCTGGTAACTTTGGCTTCATAGAATGATTTTGTAAGGATTTGCTTCCTTTCAAATGTTTTGAATACTTTAATAAGAATTGGTGTTAGTTCTTTAGAAGTTTCATAAAATCCAGCAGTGAAGCCTTCCAGTCCTGGGCTTTCCTTTGTTTAGAGACTCTTTGTTACTGAGTCAGTCTCAGCTTTGGTTATTATTGTATTCATGTTTTCTAATTGGATGTGTCCAGAAACCTATCCATTTCTTCTAGATTTTACAAATTGCTGGTATATGATTGATTATAATAATTCCTAGTGATTCTTTGTATTTCTGTGATATCAGTTGTAATATCTCCTTTCCATCTATGGTTTTATTTTACTTTTTAAAGATTTATTGGAGCCGACACTGTGGCGTAGTAGGTAGAGCTGATGCCTGCAGTGCTGGCATCCCACATGGGCACTGGTTCTAGTCCCAGCTGCTCCTCTTCCGATCCAGCTTTCTGCTATGGCCTGAGAAATCAGTAGAAGATGGCCCAAGCCTTTGGGCCTCTTCATCCATGTGGGAGACCCAGAAGAAGCTCCTGACTCTGGATTGGTATAGCTCCGGCCATTGCAGCATCTGGGGAGTGAATCAGCAGATGGAAGATCTCTCTCTCTCTTTGCCTCTGCCTCTCTGTAGCTCTGCCTTTCAAATAAATAAATAAATCTTTAAAAAAATTATTTATTTATTTGAAAGGCAGAGCCACAGTGGTGGCAAGAAACAGAGAGAGAGAGAGAGAGAGAGAGAGCGCGCACCAAAGAGAAAGAGTCAATCTTCCATCTCCTGATTCACTCCCCAAATGGCCACAACAGCCAAGGCTGGGCCAGGCTGAAGCCAGAAGCCAGGACCTTCTTCTGGGTCCTCCACTTGAGTTCAGGCCTAAGCACTTGGAATATCTTGCACTGCTTTCCCAGGTGCATTAGCAGGGTGCTGGATCAGAAGTGGAGCAGCAGGGTCTCAAACCAGTGTCCATATGGGATATCAGTGTCACAGGCCGCAACTTTACCCTCTATGCCACAATGCTAACCCCTCTGATTTTATTAATTTGTGTCTTCTCCCTTTTTTTTCTTGGTTAATTGAGACAATGATTTTTTAACCAATTTTATTTTTCCTAAAAACAGTCTCTTCATTTAATTGATCATTTGTATAGTTTTTCATTTCTATTTTTAAAATTTTTCTCTAATTTTTAGGTTTGCTTTGTTCTTATTTTTCCAGGTCTTTGAGATGCATTGTTAGATTATTTATTTGGTAGCATTCCTTTTTTTTTTTCCATGTAGGCATTTAATGCTTTAAACCTTCCTCTTAAAACTACTTCTGTTCTGCTACATAAATTTTGATATGTTGTGTCTTCATTTTCATTAGTTTCAAGGAATTTTTTATTTCCCTTTTGATTTCTTCTCTGACCCACTGTTCATTCAGGAACATGTTGTTCAGTCTCCATATATTTTTCTCTATGTATACTTTCTAGAGTTTCTTTTCTTAATTTCCAGTTTTATTCCATTGCTGTCTGAAAAGATACATTATATGACTTCGACTTTTTTGAATTTGTTGAGACTTGTCTGATATAAGCCCAATATACAGTCTACACTAGAAAATGTTCCATCTGATGAAAGCAATGTGTATTCTGCAGCTGTTGGATGAAATATTTTGTGGATATCTATTGGGTCTATTTGGTCTACAATGTAGATTACCTCTGTTCTCTCTTAAATTTTTGTCTGGTTAATCTATCCATTGAAGTCACCCAGTATTATTGTATTGGAGCTTATGTCTCCCTTTGGATCCATTAACATTTGTTTTATAAAACTGGGTACCCTAGATTGGGTGCATATACATTTACTATGGTCACTTCTTTTTGGATTGATCCCTTATTCATTACATAGTGATCTTCCTTGTCTATTTTTTAAAAAGTTTTTCTTCTCTAATATGAA